TGGTTGCTGACTTGCCGTTTATTTTCTCGTTTTGCTTTTGTTTTTATTATCTTTTTTCAGTGTAGGATATAAAAATTCTGTGGAGTTATTTTATTTGTTATCAATATTAATTAGCTATTAATTGTGTGAGGAGTTCATATCTAAACTTGTATTTGGAAAAATAATGATCGCTCATTTAGATCATATAATCATTTACTAGTCAATTATTATTTTTTTCATCCTATTTTACTAATTTCATATATTTCAAAACTCCATGAGTATCTTACATATTATTTTGTGCTATTCTATTAAAAAAAAAATAGTGGCACAATGGTTGTGTATCTTTTTGGGATCTGATCCAAATATGGTTAATAGCGCTGTGATTAAGACCACTTATCATTAACGACTAACTATTTAGAGTTAAGTGTTCATTTTACAAAAGTATATTTAATTACTTCATTGCAAAGAATACTCACTCTAAGTCCAGGACATTTTTTTTCTGCCCTTGTTGAATAAAAAACGATTCACTTGGCACAATTTAATCATTTACTTTTTTCCGTCCCTGGTATATTCGCTATAGCTAGCAGTTAATTAATTTGATAAATTATGATTTTTTTTGGCCCGAAAATAAATTATGATATTTGAATAAATTAGTTAATTGTAATAAATGTAATATAATATCTTTAAAATATTCCTTTATAGTGATATATTATATGTTAATTTAAAAGTTAAATAAGTTAAATATAAAAGATAAAGTGGATTGATAATAAATTTAAATATAACTAATTTTTATATTAGAAATAAGTAGTATGCATTTAACATGAGAAATGAAGGATTGGATGTCTGTTTAATTACGTCTAGAGAGAGAAGTGTTTCATGGTCTTGGATATGAAAAAAAGAAGATCATTTAGTGTTCACATATTTTATGGCAGCACGCCACTCTATATTATTATGAATTAATGTTGCCCCCACAGTAAAAAAAAAAAAAATCAGGGTCGGGTACAAAGGCACAAATATTAAGACAGATTTGTGGGTACAACCAAAATGCCTCTCTATCTACTTTGAATATAAAAGTGAAAAATGTTTGGCTAAAAAAAAAATGAAAAATGAAATAAATAATTGAATAAATAAAAATTAAAAGTAGGTAAGGTATGAAAGACAGGAAGGATTGCTTGGATGACCACTCAGCGAAAGAATACTTCCCAAACATGCATCCACCTTCATTTTTGCATCATGCACGTGCAATTATGTTCTTACTTTACAATTTGAAATTTGAATTACACTTTTTATTATCACGTTGTTGTTGTTGTTAGTTGTAGTTATTGCTATCTATTGCAGGTTGCATAAAATTCTTAACTTTCCACCATATAGAAATAATTTGACTAGCATTTTTTGTTGCCAAATATTTAACTGGCAATTTAGATCTTTTTTCATTAAAAAAACTCTATCTCTATAAAAAAAAAAATTTAACGATTTACATGTGTATAGAAAAATTATAAATAAGTCACACCTGTCGGCCTTGGAATGGTAGGTAAAGAGTTGGGTGTGGAAAATAATATAGAAAAAAAGAACTTTTCAGATAAACTTAATTTTTGTAACTGAGTACACCAAATGAATATAATTGATAGCATGTTAAAGAATTTGTCAATAAAATTTATTTCTCATAGAGTTTTAAGTTTATTTGTAATTATTTCGATATACTTTATTTTTTTCAAGTAATTGCCTTAAGAAATCATGCATACTGCATATTTCATGGCTCGTAGAAACAAAATAATAACTTTTTGATATGTTAGAATTAAAGTTTAGCCAAAAAATATTTGTTAATCATTTTATGTGGGACAAAGCTGGATCATTTTGCAAGATCAAAAGAGAGCTTTGGTTCAGATTAATAATAATATCATACAAACAATGGAATTTTGTGATAGCAACATTTTGTTATTTAGTATGGAAAAGTCAAAAGACAGTTATCAAGTTGATAATTTTTTTCTGAACACTGAGTTGTATGCAAATAATTTTTTATGTTAAAATTTTAGGAATGTAATTCTTTAAAACTTCTAAATTTATGTCCATATTCCTGATATGATCAACTAATTTATTAAAAATTTTAAATTTATGTTCATAATCCTAATATGATAAATCAATTTAACATTTATGTATCTAATGTCAAGTTTTAAACGTTAAAAAAATGAAAATGCGGTCAAATGCACTGAGTTGCGAGCATATTTTTATATGGGAAAATAAGTTTTAATTAAAACTTATATATAATTATAATTTTGAGAACAAATTTAGTTGTAGTATGTTTAAAATTTAAAGTATAATTAAAAAAGTAGAATTGAAAAGCTAAAACCATAGTTTTCTTTAAAAACACCCAAATATCCTTGAATTTTTATACATGCTAAAACAAAGTTCTGACAGATGATTAATTTTTTTGTGGAGGTCCTAAGCGGATATTTAAAATTATAGGCAAGTAATATTAATTCAAATTTCAAATATATCAATACATATTATAGCTATGCTCGAAAAGAAAATGATAACATTATCATTTAAAACCAATTTATATAATAAGAATAAGATATGATATAATTAGATATTTGCAATTTTTTTTGGCACTAAGAAGAAATCTAAAATTCAATCACCAAACTTTTTTTTGAAATGGCAACATTATTATTAGACTCTAGAGTGCTGATTTTGGGATTAATTGTTGTGGGCATTAAAAAAAAAAAAAGGTTGTGATTATTACTATGAAACCAGGAAATGATGAAGGATTGAAGATGGACCACTCAAGAAAAAGAAATGGAATGGAAAGCGGAACAGGCACAGGATTCTAAGATAGCCAATGAATTGAACTCATTTGTTTGCCGAAACTTTCATAGTACAAATTGCCCCTTTCTGCTTTTTTTTTTTTTTTTTCATGCAAACCTATGAAACAACTTACATTTATCACTGAATATAATTTAGATTTTCCATTTCTAATATATGTATCCCTTCCAAGTCCCAGCAAGATCCACTACTTTTTTTTAAACAAAGGATAAATCCCTTTATTTCCCTCGTTTAGAATTATAGATTCAAATATGGGAAACTTTTTATAAGAAAAGTATATAATTAGATATTCTCAAAATTATTTATTAGAAAATTGTAGATACTTCAAAAATATTTAGTCTGTGACAAAATGATTCCACCTAAAAATTTGTATGAAACCGTAAGGTTGCATCATGTTAGGTTCATTTTCAACCGTTAACATAATGAGAAGATTGCTTGTAAAAAAGGAATGGATGAAGAAAACAAACAACAACAAAGAAGACAAAAGAAATTAATTAGTAGGTGAAATTGATGCTAAGCTAAATTCCAAATAAAGCCTACCCCGTGATAATGAGTGGTTCCCATAGATTTTGACAATTTTGGAACTATTTTTCATTTTCTTCGTTTTTTTTTTCATTGGTAATTGCCAACTATGGGATTTAACCTTTCCTTCTTCTTCTTTTTTTTTTAATATCAGGGACATTTGTTTAATAATGATTCGCACGTGCCGGATCATTATGTTCAAATGTCCCCTTGTTCCCTAGCTTTTGTGATAAGATTGATGAGTGGATTCTTAAATGATGCGCAATTTACATTAAACAAATAATAACAGGCTCATCAGTTGCAATAAAAATTTATATATCTTGACCATTATTTTTATTTTTACCCTATTATTCGCTATTGAAGAGACATAACCTATTATTGCTAAAAAAAAATTTTTTTTTTTAGGTTCATTGGGAAAAATGATGATTGACCATTGTTATGACTGCAGTGTGAGACAACACCCTATATAAGACATTTTCTTTTGGACATGATAAATAGTAGTTATGATTTTACAAATTATATTAATTTACTCTCCGTCTTAATTATAGAGCAACGTGTTATTTCTATAAATTTTGTCCAATAATCAAGATGCGGAGTACAGAACACAACATTATACATCGCGTAATATTAATAAATTAACACTAAATATAGAATTATAAAAAAATTAATATCTAATTTTCTATAAAACACTCACAAGCAGCTATGCATAAATTAAAAGAGTGTAATTTTAATTAGTTATCCCACTTGCCACTTGAGTCACTAATTCAATTTTCTGATCACTTCATATAAATAAGTCCAGTTCAATTATTAAAAAAATGATGTCATTATTAGAATTTGAGTTGTCCAATGATTGATTTATCCAGACATTAATTGAATTGTTCTAATTAGATCGAATCCCATAAACACGATCATGACAACCCACCACTTGAATATTTCAAAAAAAGGAAAAAAAAAAAGAACCTTAATATTAAACTCGATCACAATCGACTTGATCACATATAAATAAAAAAATAAAACCCCAAAATTAAAGTAAACCTTAAGCATTAATGTTCATATTAAACCAAGGGTTCTTCTTTTTCGTAGTTGTCATGTCAATTATTCTCTTTGCATTTCTCTCCTGAGCATCGTTGGAATAATTATACGAATAACACTTTTAAGAGGCTCACATTATAAAACATCATAATATTAACAAAGTTATAAATATTAAAACAGTACACGACTCATTTTCTATATCCGGTGCAAATTACATCTCATATTAAAGATCCCAAATAATGTTAAGATTTGTTAATTACAATTTACTTTTTCATAGGAGTCCACTGCGTCGAACTTATTTGTGTAAATTTAGGAAATTCGTTAAGTTGATGAATGAATACTTTGAGTTTAACATTAGATGGATTAAAAAAAACAAAATTATTTTATACTCCTTTCAATCTTAAATATAACATAGTTCTAATTATCTGAGGAAGTCAATGTCCATGCATAACTTTTTATTCTTTAAACGCAAGGTAATGTATTTAAATATTGTAAGTAAAAAAAATCAGGAATTTATTTTTAATTATGGACCAAAAATACTATTCATTTTGTTGGTCTACTTGCCCTTTCATGAGTTATGACTTTTAATCTGAGAAATCGAAGACCCGCCCATCTCAAGGCATCATCAATCTCAGCCCTTTGCTTTTCTCATGACTTGTTGGCGCCCTTCCTGTGCAAAACCCTCGCCAATTTGCCGCCACATATCATGAAAATACCGTCTTTCCCTCCTTAACCGGCAAAACCCTTAAACCCCTCCAATCCCTCTTCCATTTTTCTTGTTATACCTGAAATGAGCTCTATTTCGAAGATGAAGTATATTTTAAGCCCAAAGTTCTCGGCTTTTTCTCCTCATCTTCCCAAGCCCCAAACCATATCTCTTGCTTCTAATGCATGGCCTTTTGAATCTTTCGTCCGGCATAACCCCTCTTGCATTTCCAGTCATCTCCACCTGAAGTCAACGCCCCTTTTATCCAATAGCTTCGTTTGCTCGAGCCAGAGTCGGAACTTGCAAATGGAGGCGTCTCGGCCACCGTCGGGTGAGATTCATGTGATTGTTGGCCCGATGTTCGCCGGCAAAACTACCACTCTTCTTCGTCGTATGCAATCAGAGACCACTAGCGGCAGGTGAACCCCTCTGCTCTGTTTAGTTTTGACTTCATGATTGAGCACACTTCACTTTCTTGTTGAACACCTGGAAATGTATTATCTTGAAGGTGGAATTGTTTTTGTCTCAGTGATTAAAAGTTTTATGTAATTTGCCATGGACAAATGCATACAATCATATTTCTAGTGGTCCGCAGGAAAACCAAAAAAAAAAAAAAAAAAATCAAAATTTTAAACTTGTTTCTGAATGGGAGGATTTGTGGTTGTAAAGAGTGTTGGAGTGGTTGAATACTCAGTTTGTTGTTGACTTTGTCCCCACTGATATGTTTTTCCCCCTTTTATCCGTGATTCCCTATGAATATTTTAAGACCAATTTTTGTAACATTTGCTTAATGATTTGTTGGGGGAAGGGCTTGATTTCTTGGAATGGAATAATAACTGGATAAATTTAAAAAGGGCCTTTAGAAAGTGGGAGAACCCGGAAAGCATGCCCATCATGTAATGGTTAAGTGTCAAAAATTTCTCTCTGCGTCGTGGTTATGATTATTGCAGCAATCAATGCTGTTTTTGTGCACTAGTCATCATAACTCTGGGGTACCTCATTTTATTCAGTAAGAGGAAGCTCATATGTCCGCCATCGATGGTGGGTAAGGACCATGCCCATCTGTTTATCGCTTCTACCATATGGTAATGAAATAGCGTTGTTTATCAATTCTAAATAATGAGGAATTTTCAGCATTCCAAGTGGATGCATTGGATATTTATGAGGCCCATAAAGTTCTGCAACTGTTCTGTGGGAAAATTTAATTCTCGATGGCATTTTAAATGTCTCCGTCTTGAGGTTCATGGTATTTTATATTTCTCTGGTGCAGAAATGTGGCAATAATTAAATCTAGCAAGGATACAAGATATGGATTAGATTCAATTGTTACGCATGATGGGGTCAAATTGAGGTGTTGGGCGCTAACAAAATTATCATCTTTCCGGCAGAAATTTGGCCTTGATGCTTATGACCAGGTATCATTATTCTGAAACTATTGACTTTTGTATATTTAGTGTAGCATTTTCATTTGTGTGCAACTGTGCACCGTGCATGTTAAACTTATGGACTCTTACTGTGATCTGTATTCTTTTAGTCATATTATGTGTGTGATTTAGTTTTACACCAAAAATCGTTGAAATGGTAGGTTTGTATAATGGGTGGTTCAGGATGAGGTGGCTGGTGTTTTTTATGGGTACTGTAAGGGTTGCCACTTTTCTATTGCATTGTGTTTGATTCTCCTAACTACATGATAACAGCTCGATGTGATTGGTATCGATGAAGCTCAATTCTTTGAAGACCTATATGACTTCTGTCGTGAAGCTGCTGATCATGATGGTAAAACAGTCATAGTGGCTGGTTTAGATGGCACCTATTTAAGGTATTGCTTTTGTGAGTACTTGTTATTCTAAAACTTTACAAATTTCTCCTGTTTAGATAGACCTTCAGAATAGCCAAACATGCTGTTCTCACACAAGTTCAGATTTTTTAGCTGAAAATGAGCATCGACCGATAGATAAGACCTAACTATATATTTATTTTCTTCATGGGAATTGGCTGCCTGAGATAATAACCACAGGATCATTCCTCTCAAGTATAATCAACACACCAACGAGTTCATGGAATCTAAATTTGTTTTGTTCCCGAAGTACTTTGTCATGTTTAGTCAAGGATTTTATCATGCCGTGGTTAAAGTCTGTCTTCTTCTCGTCCTGATGGTGTTTATGTTTATACTTACAGGAGAAGCTTTGGTTCCGTCCTTGACATAATCCCACTTGCTGATTCTGTAACAAAATTAACCGCTCGATGTGAAATATGTGGGAAGCGTGCATTCTTTACTCTGAGAAAGATAGAGGAAACGGAGGTCGAGTTAATAGGTGGATCTGAGGTCTACATGCCAGTTTGCCGGCAGCACTATGTCAGTGGACAGGTAGCTATGGAAACAGCAAGATATGTCTTGGATTCTCAGAAAGTTGAATGTAGCTCTCACACATAAAATGGTCCCCTTCCCTGCGTAGTGCTTTTTGTTTAAACATCGCTGCTCCCCTTATACATACCATGTCTTGCTGATTTGTCAAGTGTGAGCAGGATAAGCTGTAACGTTGCATGTATAGTGTTAGTCTGAATGGAATCGAAACTGTTGGGAATTGAGTGGAATTTCCATTGGTATTGTGTAATGGGCATGTTAACTCACATCAGATTGTATGGTACTGTCAGTTGCTCAATATTAATGCCTATGCATTACACCTCTTTCTCAGTTATTCAAGTTAGCTTTACAATCCATCGCAACGTACGGAACTCAAACGGTAAGTTCATACAAACATCAACAGCATAATGATCACGTGCTTGTAGCGATATTTGTTCCTGCGAGGACCTGATTCAAAATTTGATGAAAAACTGGCAAATTAATTTTTCCTTAAACGAAAGAATGATATTATACGGATAGGGATATGGGAATTTAGGGTTGGTAGCAGAATTGGACAAATCCAGGGACTTGCCGACTAAATAAAATTTAAAACTTGATGAACAAATCCACATCTTCTATACACCTGTCGTAGGATATATTCATATGACCAAGTTCTTTAGGGTGAATTAACTACAGAAAGGGGGTGTTTGGGAATCACTCTAGAAGCACTTCTGGCTCCCAAACCATGGTTTGGGAAGGGTGATTGCCAAACACCCCAAAATTTTGAAAAACCTGGGTTTCGGTGAAAACCATGGTTTTAGCCAGCCAAACCATGGTTTTCGTATAAGCTGGGAAATTATGGATTCTGAAGGCTCGCAATTATCACTCTTGTCAGAGCTTCTCTTCAACGGTAGAAAACTTGTCTGTGGCTCTGAAATATGCTCGCTGAAAGATCTCTCTTCTCCCATTCTGCTTACTTCTAGTGTCGCCAACGGTGAGATCGCCGCTTCCTATACGAAAAATTCATTGCCGTCGGTGAGATCACCTCCTCCCATTTAGAAAAAATCACCGTCGCCCCTTTTGAAGCTCGACGGTGGTAAGAAAGAACACACTCCGCGCGGATGATTTTCACTGAACACAAGCGCATATCATTCTTTCGCCGTCGCCCCTTCTGAAGCTCGACGGGTCTTCTTGCCACCGGGGAGGTCGTTGAGCTCGTGACTTTCGGCGCTGGTGAGGTTACTCGGCTGCTCTGGTCGCCGTCTTTTCTTCCGTCGGTCAGATCCAACGTTTCAGGTGAGGTTACTCGGCTGCTCTAGTCGCCGTCTTTTCTTCCTTGTTAGTTGTGGCTGGAGATGGAAGATCTGGTGCATTATGAATCCGTCTAGCGTCGTATTTTTTCCCCGAAACAGAGGTTGTCCAGCGTCCTTTTTTTCTTCCGAATCAGATGTTGGTTTCACCGGTTGCCTATGCTTTGTTCACTTGTAGTGGCTGATTTTTTTGGTTGCTTTCTTGACACCGATCAGATATGACAGAAAATTATGTTATTGACAAACCAAAAACAATGTTGAGTTTCAGTTAAGCCCGATCTTCTTAGCCAACGCCGCTGTGACTGGTTGTGGCTTCATTTTGTTTGATGGTAATCGTGTGTGTATACGATGGGAAATATCTCGGTTGTGACTGGTTGTGCTTCGTGTGTGTGTATGACAGACAAAGCATTCGTGTGTGTTGATCAAATCTGGGTTTTTTGATCTTATTTTCCCTTTGGTGGATTTTATTTTGGAGACAGGACACTCGAATTTTTCTCTTTTGTGCTTGATGGTTGCTTTTGCAGTGTTATAGTGGTTAACCGAAATATGTATGGGATTTTGATCGTTGGTTGTAGCCAAATTGGGTCAGTTAACCGAAAAGAATTCCCCTGGGAAAAAAAGTCATTATTAATGTGTATGTATACCGTTGGATTATAAAACACGCGGCTATACTTGTTAAATACTATCCTATTATATCATATCTCCTGAACTGAATGGTATGCCTTTTGGGTTGAACTTGTGATAACTGAACTGTTGTAATTGGTTTATAGCATAATGAATAAAAAAAATAGCAAAGCTTCATGGGATATAAGAGCCACAAAGGTCTTTATTGACCTGTGTATTGAAGAAGTTGAAAAAGGGGGAAGAAGAGGAACTAGTTTGACAAAGCCTGCTTGGACAAGTATTGAGGAGAACTTTGCTGCAAAGACTGGGAGAGTTTATACGAAAATCCAATTGAAGAACAAATTTGATACCTTGCGAAAGGAGTGGCAATTATGGGATAGGCTGCTCCGTGAGACAGGTTTAGGATGGGATGCCGAAAGGAATACTGTTAGTGCCCCTAATGATTGGTGGGAGAAGAAAATAGTAGTAATCATTTAACTTTATTTGAGCTTGTATTTTCTCCCATGTTAACGTTTTTTGTATGATGTATAATATTTTTGGCGTTGAATGCGCAGGAAGTTCCAGGCTATGAGAAATTTAGAGAAAGAGGGCTTCAATTTCGGGCTGAATTGACTCAACTCTTTGGGTTTGTAGTTGCGACTGGACCACAGTCATGGGCACCTTCTTCCATGACACTTCTAAGCGAAGGAGTTCCTGAAAATGATATGGAAGAAGGATCTGGAGATAGTGATGAAATTTTGGGGGCACCAACTGGCATAAGCGGGGAGTTTAATTCAGTCACATTCAATGACAATAGTGGAGGAAGTGGAGGCAACACTGGAATGAGACAGGAAACCATTCGTGGGAGTAGAAGCACAGGTGGTAGTCGACCTAGTAGCTCATTAGGGGTTAGAAAAAAGGGTGAATCCATGAAAAAGAAATCTACTACCACTATGAAAATAGCGGATGCACGAAGCAGGATAGCTCAGGCAAATGAAAATGATTCTCAGCGTGAACATGAAGAGATTTCAGAAGCACGTGCTAGGAAGCTAGAAGAAGAAGCACGTGCTTATGAGACGTCAATTGCGGGAGTCATGGAGCACCTTAATGAAGTTAATGAAATTGTTGATGATCCTGATCTGTTTGGCCGGTGCACAACACTTCTTATGGACAAGCCAGCTGCAAGGGAGATGTATGTGGCTCTGAAGAACAAGAGGGAAAAACTACTGATCTTCTTGAAGCATGCAACTAAGGATTGAGACTTCATTTATGTTGCTTAAAAGATGACTGCGATAATTTGTATCTATTTTTAGGAATGATGTAACCAGACTATTGTATTATGTGACTACTGAATTTCTGTAGGAATTAAACAACTTATTTTCTTGTTAAATGTTAAGTAATTTCATATTAGGGTTTCTGAATTTTATGTCTATGTGCACAGGACAAGACAAAAAATGGCTGATGAAATTAAAATTGCGGAAAAGTATCGTAAACGACGGAACAAACGGGTTAATCAAGTTGTAGTAGCAGTTGGTGGATATGCTTCTCTTCATTTGTGTAAAGAGCCCCAGCATACAAGTATTTATACAGGCAAGGCATGGGTAAGGGATGTTCTACAAGGCCATTCCACTCGTTGTTATAACATGTTTAGGATGGAAAGGGAAGTGCTCTTTAGTCTTTGCACAGAATTGCAACAACACGGTCTAAGAGAAACTAGAAATGTTGGGATACATGAAATGGTTGCAATGTTTTTAAATACTGTTGGCCATGCGCTTAGTAGTAGGATGCAACAAGAAAGATTTCAGCATTCAGGGGAGACAATTAGTAGACATTTTCATAATGTCTTACTGGCATGCTGTAGACTTGCTATGACCAACATCAAACCAAAAGATCCAACGTTTCAGCATTTGCATACAAAAATACGGCCCGGTGGTCGATACTGGCCCTTTTTCAAACATGCTATTGGAGCAATTGATGGAACACATATTTCATGCATTGTTGATGCAACTGAGCAAACAAAATTTATTAACCGGAAAGGAAGAGTGACGCAAAATGTAATGGCGGTTTGCGATTGGGACATGTGCTTCACTTTTGTATTGGCCGGATGGGAAGGTAGTGCGCATGATGCTCGTATATTTGACCATGCCCTCACAACTCCTTCCATGAACTTTCCCCATCCGCCTCAAGGTATATTTTAAATTCCTACAATTTATTTATACTTAACTGTTAGAAAACAAATTTTATTGACACCAATCATATATTTCATGTAGGCAAATATTATTTGGTGGATGCTGGCTATCTGACACCCATGGTATACCTTGGTCCCTACAGACGTGAACGCTACCATCTTCCTGATTTCCGAAGGTCATCTGCACTTGAAAATGACAATGAGGCGTTCAATTATTTGCACTCAAGTCTACGAAGCACTATCAAAAGAACTTTTGGAGTTTGGAAGAGTAAGTTTGCAATTTTAGGAAACATGCCGAGCTATGACTTTTCAACACAGGTTCAAATTGTTTGTGCAACGATGGCCATACATAACTTCATTAGATCAACATCCATTTCTGATCCTGGTTTCATTCAGTTTGAACAAGAAGGTTCTTATGCAGAAGAAAATGATGATGATGGAGTTGGATCTTCACATATACCTTCATCAGTAGATTCTTCATCTCACATGGCTCGGCTTCGTGACTCTATAAGAGATCAAATTGTTCACTACATACAAGAGTAGTTATGTCCTTTTTATTTTATTTTTTCTTTTCAGATAATGTAATGTGTTGTTAAAAAAACCTACTTGAACAAATATATTTCGTTGCAACCTCTATTATTAAGACAATTAATATGAAATTTTTTTGTGTGGTTATTTAATTTTGTGAAACAAAATTATGGGATTTCATCTTTAAAATCTTTAAGAAATAATAATATTTTCTTTGGCAAAATAAATCATTTTCCTAAAAACATATTTATTTATTTTATTAATATATATATACACACTAATTTCTTATTATTTATATTATTTATGCCATATTTATTATGTTGCCAAAATATATATTATTAATAAATTTATTACTTCAAATAAACATATATTATGAAATATATCTTATATGTAATTATCATTTAAACTTATGTCCTTTTTAGTAATTTCTATATATCAAAAAGCACTTCTGACAATAATTATCCAAACACTCTCACTTTATCAAAATTACTTTTTCAGAAAATCTATTCTTTCAAAATCTATTCTCTTCAGAATCTATTCTCCAGAAGTTATTCTGCAAACCATGGTTTTGCCTCATCCAAACACCCCCTTAAAATGGATACGAGTTCGCTTTAGTATAAATGTAACATGGACAACACTGAAGCAACATTGCTGTAGTCGGACTCATCCTCTAGCCCATCAAAGAACGGATCCAGAAGAAGCTCTGATGCAGAAGGCCTGGCGGAAGCTGGTACATCTCAATGAAGCCCTTAACTTGTGGGTCTTTGACCTTTTCCACGGCATTCGGTCTTATTCCAGAGGTCACCTTCTTGTAGATTTTTGCAACACTATCACATTCACTGTAAGGAATCTCAAGCGTCGTCATCTCCAGCAAACACATACCAAATGAATATGTATCCACATTCTCTGTGTAGTTCTGTTCACACAACTCTGGGTGCCATACTCTGGCGTCCCAATCATGGAATGAGCCCTATGACTCCCTCCCACTATAGTCGCCAACCGTAAATCTCCAATTTTGATCTGCCCCAGATTCCCATTGATGAAGATGTTGCTGCCATTGAGGTCTCTGTGAATGATACAAGGATCATGAAGATGAAGATGCTCCAACCCCTTCAAGATCTGCCTGCACCATTTCTTCACAGCTACAATTGAAAGGTGACGGTGCTTTTTTCTGTAACCTCTCAGACTCCCAGAAGCGAAAGCTTCAGTGATGAAGTTTAGAGTCCTTTTCTCTGCATCTGTCCATGAATGGTGAAAGTCGATGATGTGCTCGTTCTTCAAATTGCCCAGTAACTCAATCTTGTATTAGAGTCTTTTGATCATGGCCTCATCATTGGCGAATTTTTGCAAGGAGATTTGGTTCCAAGCCACCTCTTTGCCTTCTAGTTGATCAAAAGCTCTGTACACTTTCTTTGTAGCACCGGCTCCTAATAATTCACGGTATCTTCCATACCGTCCAGTTGGATCAACCTCGATGAATGGTTCAACAACTTTATCAGAAGAACAAGCATCCACGAATTGCATTGTTGTCTCCTCGGAATTTATTACTAATAAAGAGAGAAATGATGGAGGAAAGAATATAATCAAATGAAGACAGAGGAGAAGTATATGGAAAAAAGTATGAAGAACTGCGATATAATAACTATGAAGAAGAGATGGAGTAAATCATTCTGCAAGTCTCGGACTCAGTGAAAAGCAATGACAACAGAAAATGCAGAGGCTAATGGTCAAAACAACTATTATCTTATACTGATTAGAGGACAAATCCTCAGAATCTGTTCAAATTACTTCATATGTTTCAAAGTCAAATCAATATTTTAAACCAATTGATTTCTAGTAATCTGAATTTGAATTGAAACCAACATTTTTAAGTACAAAGGAGATGCATGCTTATCCACATACTTTCCCAGTCAATGAGAAAATAATGTACTTAACGATTGGCTTTTTTGTTTGATTTCGTGGATGAACAAGATCTTCATAATTGGTTTTAGTTATGAATCACGATCACAATCCTAACCATTAATTTTATCCCAATTAAAAAAATTCAATATGTATAATAAACCAACCAAAGATTTTATTAATAATTAGATAGATTACTTTCTAAGTCCGTTAGTTTTCTATCCTAAACCTTATCTCAACAAATTGGATTTAATAAATATATGATATAAAGACTAACAAACCATATTTTCTTCAACTTATAATGTCAAATTTAATGTAACCTATCAAATCTATAATTAACGTTTTAAAAAACAGAAAAAAAAAAGAGAGAGAGAAAAGGAGTGATAATGACTACTCAAACAAACTCTTCGACGAAGAATTTTTTTGTTTTGAAAATCTTAATTATAAAAGAAGCCAATAGATAAGGCTTTTGATCAAATCAACTTTTGAATGAATCCTAAGCATCAGCACGAACAAATTGAATAATACTCCCTCCGTTCCTTAATATAAGAGACATTTGATGCTTATAGCATGTTCCTATATATAAGAGACACTTAAAAGTTATCTCTATTTTTTTGTGTTGATTTCCTATTTTATCTATATTTATTATCTCTAACTCACACTCTCTCTCCCTTCCACTTCTCTTTCTTTTAATAATTTAATTATTCTCTCTCATACTCTCTCTCCTTATTAATGAAGGCATTTTTAGAAAAAAAATTTATACTTTTTACACATTAATTATTCTTAACTAATTTTAACTGTTTTTTTTATTAACGTATCAGTTATTTGTCTCTTATAATAAAGAAAAAAAAGGGAGTATCTCTTAGAGACGCATTAAGCCCTCTGCCGCGTTGATTTGTGAAATTTCCAACTGTAACAATAAAGAACACTAATAAAGCTGGGTAGATGTGACTTCACATTCGTATCATAACATAGGAGATAATTATTTTTCCTTTATCGGTAGATTGTGAACAGATCGTGACTTCACACTCACAGATTCGTTTAGGATTAAACCGATTAAAGAAACAAGGAAAATACAGTGAAACTTCCGTAGTGTGTACAAATACAATTAAATTTTATAACGGCTACGCCTCCCTTCAAGCCCATAGCCAGACCACGTATGTTGCTCATTTGAACCAGGAAATGCCGGCTATAATGGGACAAGTATCACTTCTTCCAATAAAACATCTAATATTAACACACCTGTTTCAGTTTATACATTTTAACCGTTGCCTTCCCATAGTGCGCTGAAATTCGTGAGCAGCCATTCACCAAGTGACGATCCGTGTTTCAACCTTTCACCAACTGTGTCCACCCACTTTTTGGTAATAAACCCTTTCATCCAAGGTCCACAGGAGACCGCGTTGTCGCAAAGAGGTTATGGTGAGCAATTCAACATGTTCGGAAACCAGGTTCTGAGAAGCCCTCACAGCTTTAGACAAAACTCTTCTCATATTTGCTTTTATCAAAATAGCACGATTCCTTCACCAATAGAAGAAAGGTCTAAACAAGAAGCTACAGTAATTGTCTCCCTCAATTTGCTGGTCACTGCAGCACCTATTTTCAAGGGGTCAAATGACTTTTTTTGGGGGGGGGGGGTGTTCGATGACAGCATAGAAACAGAGTCATAACCAAAACAAAATTTAAGATAAGTGAAACCGCGTGCAAGATTCCTTACCAACACGAAAGTACTGACTAAATTCAGCAACAATGTTACCTCCACACAAAACCTTCGTGTAACCATGCAAAACCATCTTAGTGCCATTGAAATCTCCTCCTTATAAAGGAAAGGCTCAAGGTTCTCCTTATAAAGGAAAGGTCTTCCGGACCAGCAGCAGCACAATCGAATACATGCTACTAAACGAATGATCTTAAAACTTCACATTCGAATGCATTTACAAAGCTGCGCCGGATCCTGTTTCTCGAAACAGTTCTTCTGGTGCAGCATTGCAAATGCATTTTATTGTGAAAATTTGGATGCAGCTAAAAGTCCCCACTGGCTCAACCGTTATATCTTCAAACATAATAGTGTAAACACCTAACAAAACAAAAATTCACGTTTCATAAGCATGAGAAAGGACGGAGCTTGAGGATGAACTAGAAAGCAAATTAAAATAGAAACGGCATTTGAACGCACGGGAACGCATCCACGGTTGTGTAGAAACAGGCTTTCTGTCCTAGTTTGCATGACACAATGTCTAATTAGCTGAATGATAAGTTGATGTTGATTATTAGGATTTGGATGCATAATAACAAGTGCAAGCTCTCCAAGAAAACACATTACACGAAAGGTTCTAAAAGTAAATAGCCTCTGAATTGCAGAATAACATCAAGGCTTAGAAGCCATTCAGTCCCGAAAGATGGTGTTTTGATAATTGATTTCATCATTGGCTATACATATTTTGGAACCATGCCAACACAGAAAGTTTGCCCCCCAAATAGGGAGGAGCATGGAATTAAATTTACCAATCTGAGACTACAAATTGCAAGACAACACCAGTCACCAGGCCAACAAAGTATAAGAACAAGTCAACAGAACCTCGGAATTGCAAAACAGAATTAAGAACCAAGAAAATAAAAGGAAAAATACTATGTATGTCTCATGGCCAGTCCCAAGAAGTAATGGCAGCAACGCTGCTCCACAAGGCGATGGAATATGAGACAATATCGACGGAGAATCTCCCGTGTGAGAGATCCGTCAACGTCGACGAACATTCGTATGCGACGTTAACTTGGGAATATGCAAACACAAGATCGTTTGCCCCCAAATAAAAGTTAAGGATTTGAGCAACTCCCCCGTCGCAAAAGAAGAACAAAGGATCGACTGAAGATTAGAGAGAAACAAATGCATGAAAAGCGAGAAGTATACCTCAGTCACTTCTCAAACGAGAAGGAGGAGACGGGGAGGAGAATTTTCAATAGCTGAAACTGAAATGGACAAGCTAGCTTTGGGATGCCGTAATACCCTAGAATATGATTACCGCTGAGAATACCCAAATATTTATACTGAAGGAGGTGCGATTGTGATTCGGCGGCCGATCATGAAAAAACCCTAAGTAGGGTTTTTGAAGAAACAAGGAAGTGTCTCATTGGGTCAGTCCAGCTTATCGAGGGGGCCCATTGTTACCACAGAAAGGGCAGGCCCATATAGTTGTATACACATATTTTTAACCCTTATAGTTTTATAAATTTAAATTTTATTATTGTTAAAAAAAAAAATAATTCAGCCCGTAGGATCCCATTGGCGTGCATCCAATTCCAAGGAATTTATCCTAGGCCAATTAAGAGTTGGGCCCTTTAATATTTTTTTAAAAAAATTAGGTTCTTAAATTTATTTTTATAAACTTAAAAGTTTCTTTCTTAAATTATAAATAAGTATAAATGTAAATAATTAGTGATAATAAAATTAGTGCTTAACAAATCTATGTATCCTAATTTAAACAAAATTAGTAGGTGAAATATTTAAACTTAGTACCTACAATTTTTTCCCAATTTTTAAATATGCAGGAGACCTAGGTCTTTTCTTATTTACTTATCTGTTCATAGAATTTGCCTGCATAAAATTCTTGAACAATTTTATGCGTTATTTGATTCCGCTTAGTCAGCAATGATATGATTTAATTTCAAGCATACTGACAAAATTGGATCAATAACAGGCCAAGAACATGACAACCGTGAAGAGTGGGGATTTGAATTTTTTGTTTTTAATCCAACGTTGTGGTCCACATGGATCTCTCAAAATTGATCCGTGTTTTAAGACTGCAATTCAGATGACGAAAGATGAACTTCGTTATCATCTTTAATTTTTCTTGAAGAGTCATGTCAATCAAGTAATCATTAGAAAACGATAAATAAAACAAAGAGCAGTATTAAGTAGCATTGATCCAATAGCAGTAGATTAAGCCCCTTATATCCATATCCTTTTGGATTAATGCCTATGAAGAGTGACAAGAAGTTAAAATTGGAGGTTTCTTTTACTAACCGTTCTAGCATTTGACATTTACAGCAACTTCTGAGATTAGTACAACAAATGTTGCATCAAAGATTAACCTTGAGTAAGTCCTATGAAGATTCTGCTGATGCAACTAACTTATGCTAAAGCTCAAAAGAGAGGGGAGAAAAGAAACAGGAGAAAATGTACAAGTCCCAATGAAGCAGTCAAAATCACCACCAAGCAGAAGAGGTGGACATAGCTCTGTTCATCCAAAACAGATAGAGAGCACCATCTCTATATTCAAGACGGTACTTTTCTTTGAAACCCTTCAATAAGTTTCTGACTGCAGCCGTAGTAGAGGCACTCAACGGGTGTTGTTTAAAACCGGCCATGGAAAGTCTTGACCTCCACTTTCCTAGAAGTTCATGCCTCTCTACCCTCTCTGTCCCCTCACAAGCTATCATGTTGACAATGTCTCGAGCCACACAGTGCTGTTCTGCACTAATCCGCTCCTTATCATCTCTGCTAGAGCTCCCCGCATCAATTGATTCAAACATGGCTGTATAGTAATTTAGTGTCTCAGCAAACCTTTGGTGAAAGGGAGAAGTGTTGGTGTTGGATTCCTGCTCAACAAGGGTCATAACTTTGGGTGACAAGCTCTTGACCAATCTCAATAGCCTGTCTCTGTGGTTCTCTGTGCTAACACTCTCATCAGGCATGTGATGCAGAACATAAGGAAAATTCACAGCAATCGCTTCCCCGGGTTGAACTCCTAGGTTCTCAAGTTGAACCTCACAGCCAGACATGGCGGCACTATGGAACTCAAACGGCACTCCAAGAGACTTGGCATGATTTTCCAAATGCTGTCCTACAATATGAAGCCCTCCACCTCGAGCATGAAATGATTGGGAGTCGTCAACACCAGTTACCCGAATGCATGGGGGCCCACCAGGCCGCTGTGCAAGAGCCTGAATTAGTAACTTCCACTGGGTGCCCTGTGCAATTTGGAAGTCAATTATATGAATTCTGGGTTCACTTTGCATTGCTTCTAGGATGACAGCATTTGCAGATGTGTAAGCAAACTGCCAATATGGGCAAATCCTAAAGAGAATGCCCATGTAATTTAACAGTTCTTTGCTCGTTGGGGGTTGTTCTTGCTCACACTTCAGAGATTTGTAGATGGCACTCCCAGTTGATACCACCCTCGCTTTAAGCCCCTCCAACATGTAAGCTCCCAACCTCTGAAGTGGATCCCCAGAAACTGACACCATCTTCACTAATACTTTATCCATGAATCCTGCTGCGGTTTGAAAATCGCCATTGGACACAGCTTGTGCACAAGCAATGAGGACTTCTTTCAAGTCAAGCTTAGGAATCATTTCTACAATCTGGTCCCAATTCCATCCAGACATCGGAGATGTTTGCTGGTGGCCGCCGTCGGGGCAGTAATCACAACTGTCAACAATATCTGACTCCGGTCCCAACAATTCATTCTCTAATTCCTTGAGTCTGTGCTTCAATTCATTACCACCATCAACACTAGAGCACCCACTGATTGGTGATCCATAGGTGTTATCCTGGGACTGGTGCGGATCTGAAAGGGACGACTGAGTCTGAGAACCTTGTGGTGAAAAAGGACTCCTATTAGATGAATTGCTAGCAAAGGAAGAGGAATCACAGGTTATGGGACCAGGAGGTGGCGGTAGGGATGATTCAAGGGTAAAGTATTGCTGGTTGTAGTTTTCAAAAGAAACTGTGGTTCCCTGGCTGCTATCATCAGGGATTTCATTATATAAATTGCTTGGCAAAATCTGGCAATGAGACAAATGGCATGTGCCTGTGTCTTGCATCGGCTGGTGATACAGATGGAAACCAACTGAACTCGGGTGTTTCTGAGTTGTTTGCATCTAAAACAGGTTGATTTTCTACTTGGGAAAGGACTAGTCAACCTTCTGAACTCTGATGGTGAAGGTTGTCCGCAACAAGTCAATTGTTCAAATCACTCGTCTAGAAGATGTGAAAAGCTAGTTTAAGCAGTTTCGCTGATTAATCAATCTGCGTATTGAAAAGATGAAAGATGCTTCATTTGTCGGCAGAAGTTATTCGCACCTACCGTCCAGGAGAGTGTTGAAGAGACTCAATCTTCATAATAAGAATAAACTATTAATAAAGCTTTCACGTGGATTGAACGGAGAGAAGGGAAAATTTAAAAATTAGACCAGCTTGACAGAAGATCTAATAAAATTGCACAGATGCCATAGAAAAGCAGATTCCACCATGACATACAAATGAAGAATTGAGAATCCTATGACAGTCTCGCTAATGAACTCCCTCATATCTCGCGGATTTAAAGCCTAAACCCTCAAAAATTTATCACCAGCAAGCTTCGTACTTTTAGAACTGGTAGATTCTAAAGACTAGAGAGATCGGAAAAGAGGTATAGAGCGAGTGATCAGAAATAAAATAAACTCAAGTTTACATTTCTCATATTCTCCAGAAGTAATTACAGAACAGAATGGCTCTCCAAGAATTAAAAGCATCTGGCTTGTGAAGAGAGTAACCGGGGACCAAAAACGGGAGAAGACGATTGCGGAATTTTAGGAAATCAAAAGAGTACAATCACAGATCCCAAAGAGATATAAATCAACCGGAGCCACCAACCAAATACGTAACTCTTCAACTTTTTAGGAGAGAGAGAAAGAAACAGTTTTGTGTCAAATAAATGAGTCTTCAGCTATCAAAGCTGAAAAGGAAAGAGAAACATTTCTTGATTTATTTTCCGCTTATGCCAATCGTAAACCAAGGTGACAAACACCCAAAACAGAAATTGTTCATAAAGGAAAGGGCTCAAATTCAAAACAAAACGAAACACAAGCATCTTCCGGGTTTCTTCGCAGACTGTGAGATATAGAAATAAGATGTTGGATCTTCATTTGAAAGCCTTTCCCCAGGAAGATGAAGCAGGCTTTCAAACTTCAAAAACAAAGAAAAAACAACAACAACAGCTAGACCAGCCACCTCTCTTCTTTAGAACATGAACTAATAAATTAGTAAATTTCATTTTTTCAAAGCAAATCCAGATTTGTACACACCAGAAGAAAAACAAGAAATCAGACAAGTCCAGAAGAATAGATCATACATGCCACAGCTCACAAAACCAGCGACTTCAGAAGGTGGGAAAAAAAAAACGGAGACAGAGAGGGAATTCTGGAAAGGCGCACCTCAAAATCTGTATAGTGTCAGGTTCAGTGTAGCGATTGTGCGGAGGACAGGCGCTTGAAGAGCAGAGAGAGAAAGAGAGAGAAAAGAAGAAGTTGTGTTAGCCGTCACTGGAGTTCTGAAACGATGAATTTGAGTGGATTTATAATGAAATGATTTTGAGCTGTCCGAGTGAAAGACCGGCGACAAATGCCCAACGAATTAGGCTTAATTACAACTTTGACCCTACGCGACACTTGACTTTGTTTGCTTTGGGTGCCCGGCGCTGATAAGACAGCGACTCCAAGTCAGCTCCTCCAATCCGAGAGTGCGGTACAAATTAGAATATTCTATTGCCGAGTAAATGACTTTCAACCAAAATGATATACGCCTTTTTTTCCAGGCAAATTCATAAAACAAACCAATTCACATATTATCAACTAATTTACATTTAAATGTTTTTATGAGTTCCTTGGCCAACCAAATCAATCACTATGTTTAATTAAATACTACTCCGGCATTCCCTCATGCGTTCAGCATAGAAAGTAGTTGGAAGGTTGAATTTCATTCTAAATACTAGGAAATCAAGTAAATTACTTAATTATGATGTACATTACATGATGATTTTGAAATATTTCTATATTATTATATTATATGTTAGTTTATAAATCAATTAGATTAGTTTAAAAAAATAATAAATATAAATATTTTAAAGTACTATTTATGG